CAGCACACTGAAAATCGATCTGAGAACCGGAGTTTTTCGATTAAGGTGATTCATCTTCAACACTCGGTGACTCGTCTCCAAGAAGTTCGTATTGTTCAGTTCAAACAGAGTAGATGGCGGTCGAAAAGCAGTGGACCATTTGTGTTTCCGTGGTAGAAGGTGGTCTCTGATATATCTGCCAAACGTTCCGTCCGACATTACGTTGTTAAAACTACAAAATCATGTTGTGCAAATTTCGATTTACCTTTCAACCGTTCGACTAAACATTAGGCCAAAAAAAGTTGTATAATTTCTGATCGCACCCTCTACATTTACGGTTCATGAGTTAATGTTAACAAACTATACACTTACCCTCTTTATCACTTTCCGAACAAGGTGTACGCGACACAGAATATGCTGGGCATTCGGATACACCTGCGTGATAGCAGAACCTATTGCAGGTGAATCATCGGTCAGAATGTCTACCAGCTGTCAACTGTTGGTACACCATTGGAAAAAACGCAGGAATCGAGAAATCAGTGTTGACGTTTCGAGACTTAAAAAACCAATGCAGAGGGGTACTGCCTTAAAATTCATACCAAGGGCAACATCTCATTGATAGCGGTCATGCTGTAGATAAATCGAAATCATTTCGAGTTTTCTATCGTATGCCTCCATCATTTCCCGACAGAGTTCGTTCCCGCCTCCTACATATAGCTGAAGCCATTGGAATTCGTACATATAACCTCAATTTATGTGTACAGAAGAAATACGTAACCCCCTATCCCTTCCATGGCCAGTTGTAACTTAACTAACGATTTATTTATTTAAATAATTTTTTTATTATTTTTATTTATTTTATTCTATTTGTGTTATCGTTAGCCCTATTTCCACATCAATTATTTGTTTGTAATTCTCCGCCTCTTTGTATTCTTCACTATCTAATTATTTACACACATCTTATTACGTAATGATTTTAATGTTTTGTGATTATTATTCCTAGTCTATTTACCCACGTTTGTTCGAACTTTTATTTCCAACGATTAACTATTGATAAGAGTTTTGTTATTGTAGTTTATTATTCTTACCACTATCAGCTCACCTGTCTTCCTACTATAAACTTGTCCTTTTACCTATTTAATGTGTAGAGACTTATTCTATTTCATTGTGATTATTGACCCCGATTACCTTGATTGGTTTACATTTTCATTCAAAGAAGCTATGAATATCACTAGGTGCATTAAGCTGTTTTGCTGAACACAGTGACCATTCTGATTCATGAAATGAATCGCGATCGAGGAAAGTCGGTGACAATTTCAGTTCAAAGAAACTTACTGACTTATCATCAAATAAAGCAATAAATTCATTGGCATCTTCACCATGATATTTAAACAGAATGATGTAAACATATGGATTAATAGCTCCATTATAAAAATGTGATCCACTCACGTGATAAAACGAGAATTCAACAAATGTGCCATTCACAAATGGATGAGGCTGATTAAGACTTGTTCTTTGTGAGTAATGATAATGATGAGACTGTATATGTCTATTAGAATCTGACTGATTACTTAAATATCAAAATGAATCATTCTCAAAAATCACTTGTGTTTAATTCTTCTAATCCGGGTATTTACAAATTTCTTCGCAGTCGTAGAATTCGGAAAACAATTTCAAGACCAAATAAAACCACATCAACAGATCATATGGAAATTTGTATGTATAATGGTCCACATTAATGAAACAATGGTATTTGTGTTCATATGACTGGCTGATTTACTTCGTAAGTTTGTTCAACACTCACCTTATCATATTGTTCAATGTAGTGAATCAAATTTTATGGAAGTTGTCAAGCTTTTATAGACTTGAAAGTGCTTCGTTGTTTTATTCTGATTCGATGATTCAAACTGACCATTAAGAAGATCAAATTTAATGAGATCATATGTTTATTGTTAACCGATCGTTATTCAATATTCTTCTACCTATTCAGCATATGTGCTGACGTTTATTCACTGACATTGATTGTTTGAAATTCCTGACTCCCTATTGATGAAAGTTCTCCTGGATGTCATTATCAATAATTGTTATTTAGTGATTCACTAACTTGTTTACGAACAAACAGTTTGTTGCCTTTATTAACCTTTTAATTGACTGTCACTGGTGCATTGTTTTGATTTGATTGATTAAAATCAAAGTGACACAAACTCTTTTGACTGAATGTCAACATTCACACTTTTACATTTGAATTTTATTTCAATAAAAATTCTGTTAGACGATTTCATCATTGTACTAAATGAAACTGTAACATCTAAACGAAGTCACATTCATTCTGTTTGACCACTATATTATACCACTGGCTATTAATAGGCGTTGGGATAATAAGAGGATATAAATTATTTATCGATCATGTAGAAGTGGAACTGATTGTGTCCAGTTACGTAGATTGAGGTCGCCAAATATCGTAATAATGGAGATACAATGCATTCCGTCAAAAGTGTACTGTAGAAAATTGAGAACGACTTCTCGAACCAGACATAGATTTGTAGTTACAGTGAGTGAGTGAGTGAGTGAGAGAGTGAAAAGTATCATGACCTCAGAATTTTTTAAATGTATTTTCTTAATAATATGTTTTTACTAGAAGTAATATACAAGCGAGATATTTTCATAACGTAAAGGATGACTCTGATTCTAGGATGATTAGCAGTATTGTACAGATTTAATGAAACAGGAATCTCGTATTTGTTCAATCATAATCTTCAGACTACTACTGACATAGGTTGTAAAGGATAAAAAAAACCGTAAACATGTGTACATGTATTTCCTTTAAATATATACAGATAAAACGTTTAATTATCCGTCTATGTTCCAAGAGGAGTAGCAGTCGTAAGTAACTTGAAACATAATCACAATCACAATAATAAGAATAGGATACAAATTGTATGGGTAAGTATAGTGAATCTGCGATGTTTGTATCAAGTGATAAACATGTTGTAATTTGTTACTGGTCAAACTGTCTTAACACACAAGTTTAAAGAGTTAAGAAATGATGATTTGGTTTCATAGCAAGAAACACTATTTATCATACAATCACATGTACAATCAATATTTTCTTCACTCATTTCGAAGTAATTAACGTTGCTTCAGGACTGGGTTGCATTGACACCTGAACTAATGATAGGGAGTGAAGTAATTGAGCGTGTCGAATGCTTCACTTATCTTGAAAGTTTCATCAGCCCTTGTGGTCTAGTGTGTGACGAAATCTCAGCACGAATACAGAAGGCTCGACTAGCTCTTGCCAACTTGCGTCATTTATGGCGTAGGCGAGATATCCGTCTATCAATCAAAGGACGGGTTTACTGCGCAGCAGTTCGTTCCGTCCTACTTTATGGCAGTGAGACATGGCCGGTCAGAGTAGAAGATATTCGTAGGTTACTAGTATTCGATCATAGGTGTCTTCGAAACATTGCTCGTATATTCTGGGACCGCCGATTAAGTAACAGAGTTGTTAGGAAACGAGTACTAGGTAAGGATGGCAAATCAATTGATGACGTAGTGAAACTTCATCAGTTGAGATGGCTTGGACACGTGTTACGTATGTCCAACCACCAACTGCCCCGACGTGCGATGTTTAATGGTGTATGAGTAGGTTGGAAGAAAGCTAGGGGCGGCCAGACCAAAACATGGCACAAATCCATGAAATCACTGACAAGTGGACTGAGTCATGTTGGTAGGTGTAGACTACTTGGTTGGGGACCACGAGATGATAACAACCGATGGTTGTAGACCTTGAATGACATGGCTCAACATCGTTTGCAATGGCTCAGGTGCATCAACTCTTTGTGTTCTCCCAAATTCTAATCTTTTGAGTTCTTCATGTCCCTTATTTTCTTTCCAAATTTATTTCACTGGATTGTACTATTTGAATAACATCTTCAACCCCTAATCTTTTCAATTACTGCTTATTCTCTTACCACCTCTGCCAATGCGGCATATTAATCGACGATTGTATTTCTGTGCTAATGAGGTATGGCAACTCAAACTGATGTACGTACGTACGAAGTTCTAAGTTGTCGATGACTGAATTAGCGTATAATATTCTAAGACAATTCACAAAGAGGATTTTTTCGTCACATTTAAAGAATGATTGTCATTTTTGATAGATCATATCACTCAAGATATTTGCCATGTAAAATCTGTTTGAAGACTTACACATATCGAGAAACAGTAATCACTGATTATTTCATACAATTAGTTCCCTTTATGAATATAAATAAAGTCAGAACAAACATTGATGCATACATCACCAATCTTTAATGTTTCCTTGATTCCAACACCAAAATAACCTCTGACCTGTTCTTGCGTATGTATATAGTTATTATTGATAACTTTTGTCATTCCAATTCTTTACATTCACTTATGTTAATTGTTCCATACAATTTCTTACCTGAATGTAAAAATTCTATCACATATTTCGTTGTAAGCGGCTGATGAGAAACGACGAAATATAATGAATTCATACTATTCTACATCAATATTTGTTCTAACTTTATTTAAATAACTAGACACGATATATAACTAATAAAAGGAATGAGTACATTGTACTGTTTGTAATAATGTTATCCCACCCCCGTCGCAAATTGTTATACCGTGAAAAATGCTGCTGATTAAGGGGTAGCGAATCATTGATCGGACCAAAGACGCGCAAACACGTGGAACGACCTAGGGTTCTGATTGGCCCCGCTTCCCTGTCTAACCCAGCCAGTTGAGTCCAGAACGCAAGTCACAGCCTCGGATATATGAATCATTATATTTCAAACATTGTTTATATACCAATCAAGCAGACCACAACGTACCACAAAATAGAAAATAACATTGTACAATATTGGCCAACAGGAAAATAACACGTTAAATAAATATTGACCAATCTGATGATACCATTTCATGTCCAAGGATAGCATTAGGCTTAACAGGATGATCTTTGGGATATTTTCCTGAATATCCCAACAAATAATGAGTGCATATTATTTATCAATAATTACAGTGTTATCAAAGATTGATTTATTATAAAGAAATACCTGTAATTCATTATGAAATTTATATTGTAAGATACATTTCCTTGACAAGAAGTTTTAGAAATAGTTGATAGGAAAGTACATTTTTACGGTCTTAAACGATTCGAATAACTATTTAGTTTAAATTCATTTGGTATTGTTTACTTGAATCTTTCCATTGATGTTTAGCACTACAATTGATCAGTATCTTGGTTTAATTTTAACTTTAAACAACAAATATTATCCATGTTCTGTGACAAATGTACACGCATCATTTTTTGTAGAAATACTCCCTATAAGCTGAAATCTATTTTTTTTAAACTGTGGTATAGTGAGATCACAGTCTCGTGGTTTGGCTAATTATGTGTATTTATAGATTTAAATATTTATTTACAACTCTATAGCTAACAATATAAGTTGATTGGGAAAAAAACTTCGATTGTTTAACTGGTAAACCTACTTTCTGAGAGTTTAATAAATTTGCTAATTTTATCGCTTCTGGACGTGGTGGAACAGACATCACAAAAGGTATTACATTATCGAACGATCCAAAAGTAAGCGTTTTATCCATTTCGGATGCCTGTAGCAAATCTTTAAAGGGAAACAGTAGCTAATTTTAATATATATTAATGTAAAAATGACCATATAGAAAAAAAATTAGATGTGCTATTTTAAAATTAAAGGAAAACTATGCTAAAATTCCTAACGAGATATAATTGTGAAAGCAGTTCTCTTCATGAACTAACATTGACTGAGGAACCAACAGTTTCGACCCACTTATGGGTAAATGAGGCTATTTTCAGATACGTTCAACACTGCGGAAAGTTACGTGCATAAAGGTTCTCTTTAAAAGATTCCTCGGTGTACAGTAATGTTTTTTATACGATTACATTTTGAAATATTTCAATTTAATATCGTATAATAAAGAATGAAAAGTCGAGCAAAATATTGAAGTCAATGATATCAGGTAGACCTTTCTTAAGTTTCAACTCTGAGGTATAGTTTACATATAGTTATGATAGTTCCAAATATATTCAAGATTACTTGCCTATTTGCATGACAGTTTGTTTATAATATTACTTACCACCTTCATTTTCTTCAATCACTTCATTCTTTGAATTCCTAATTCAATGAAAATATAAAGTTTGAATGAATTTGTAACATACTTCGTATTAGCTTTGATTACATTCAACTGTTGATTTATAATACCATCTGATTGTAAATTGATAAGAAAAATATTCATAACAGAATATTTACCTTCTTCATCCGATAATAGAACTTGTGTTTCAGACAAGGGTACAACAGATTCATTTAATTCACTTACAGTGGGGTTGACTGATTCTTCTAAACTTATTTCTGAAACCGTTGAAACTCGAGCTTCTTTGAAAAAAAGATAATTGGAATAAAAATGTGTTTACCCGAGAAATTGGAATCCAACACTGTCGCATCACTTAAAAATAAAGTTAGAGAGTATAACAAAACAAAATAAATTAACAGCAATCATTAAAACTAAGAAAAATGCCTATTTTTAAAATGGTGAGATGTATTATGTAACACATGAGGAATGTATCAGTATTTATGTTTAATGAACTATAAATGCATTCATAACTGTCATCTGATCTCATCTATTTCTTTCCTTCTTATATAAATTGCCTCGAATGTCAATCAACCTTTCGTAAGCAAAATCAGGGAATATTACTTTACATCATTGGGGCGCTTTCTTTATGATTATAAATCTAAAAGCAAATAACTTAGTTCTTTCATTAGACTAAAATTGTTCTCAATTGCAGATTTATATTTCCATGAATGCTTGTATAAAGCATTGATCTGCTTAGTTGATTTCACTTATCACAAATTCTCGTTATATAAACACATCATAACTTATCAGATGTCAATCCTTTAAAGTGAACAGTATAATTTAGATTGAATTATAGGAGATTAAGTAATTTAGTGATAAAAACAAATAACCCGATGAATCTAACTTGAATCATTTTACTATTGTTTATACACAGTAGAATTGTGATTACCATCATGAAGTTTCTCTCTTAGATCTTTCATCTATTTATTTTATGTATATCATTCAAGTGTGAGGAGAAATCATTTACTGATGTAGTAGTCATATCGGAATTAAACAGGTTAGTTTTTATTCTCAAATTGTCAATATTATGCAAAACGATTTAATTTACTCGTGATGTTTATAATGTTAAGGAATATATTGTAGTATGTTGTAACTGAAGATGTTTTTTTTCAGGAGCTTACTTTATTTGCTGAATCATTGTAATGATTACCATTTAAATGTACTTGAATTTCCACTGGTTGAAATCATGAGTCAATTGAAGCTAGACCACCATGGAAAACCTGGAAGCAATGAACGGCCGTTTCGTCCTGGTATGGGACTCCTCAACAGCGCGCATCCACGATCCCGCACCCCGCGAGATTCGAACCGAGGACAGGTTTTCCCTGGTGGTCTAGCTTCAATTGACTCATGATTTCAACCAGTGAAATTTCTAAAAATCTCCACAAAACCCTTTCTGATAGTATTTGAATTTGTTTATAGTTAAAAGGAGGATATAAAATTTCAATGAGTACACAATATAAATTATAAATAATGAATAAACTTCGTTTAGAATGAAAAATCTATATTTAACTAAACTTAAGTGGATACAAATATCCTATTAAACAGTGTTATTTTATTCCATTTCACTATAAGTATCTATGGGTATATGAAATAAAACTAACAAATATTTGAAATAGATCTATACAGATTTTAGAGGAATAAAAGGTTGAATTACCATATTGAGTTTTCAGTTTTGCTTATTTTTGACTGCGAACATTCTAAATCATCGGTTTGTATTTGTGAATCTTTCTTTTCTTCAAATTCTCTCTATTAAATGGTCAGCACCAATATGAAATTCAATAAAATGTTTACATTTATTATCAAGTATATTGACGTTAACAAATATTGCTTACCAATATAACAACTAAATCGCTGAGTAAAATTTAAAAAAAAGAGACTTTTACTGATATTTGTTGAGTAGATCCAGAAAACTCCTGGAAAAAAAATCCAAGGAAGGCTCTGAAAACACTGAGAAGCATCTTATCCAATCAGCGTTCATGAGAAGTTTTGCCAGAAACATCTAGAAGTTGGGAAGTAACATTTCGAGTTTCTGATTGGATGATGATTACTACACTGCTACTATGTTTAGTAGCATTCGGAAAAACCCAAAGACATCTAAAATACTATAAAAACCCAATATTTCCTGTACATAAATGAACCTTTGGAGTAAAGTGTTTCTTACGTACTTTGAGCCTTTTCTCTCGTGTTCAAGTCGCTGTGTAGTTCTAGCTTGGGGGTTACTAGAAGAGCTTAGGAACTGAATGTAGCGTTCAATTAGCAAGACTTATCAGTATTTTTAGAGCTGACATCTATTTGAATAAAACAGTAAACAATTAAACTGTTGATAAAAATCAAATCAAAATCTTAGGATTTAATGCTTATTCATCATCAATAGTGAAATATGAAGGTTGTGTAAAGAAAATCACTAAAGCATCTAATATATTACCTTTTCAAATTAATTTTTACACCGTTATAATAGAATACTTGTCTTTCATCACCCTATGAAGAAGGATTTAAGGATGAATAAAACTGCATATTCAGTAAAACGATGACTAAGAATGTTTATAAGCTAACACCATTTGAATGAACATGAAAATGAAATTCCTTTTCTACCATGTACAGGGTATATATATATATATATGTTTGGTTTCATTGTTTACTTTAAAGAAGGTAAGAAATTAGCAAAAGGAGCAGAAAAATCCATTTAAGTTCAAGACATCTTATCAACTATAATAAGCTTGGGTTGGAAAACAAATAGCTGAATACAATAGAAAAGATTAGTGTAATTAAGTTAATACAGCTGAGATACGGAAATTGTCATTATACACTGTAGTTAATAATAATAGATAAGTATATGGAAAATATTTATTGAAAAATAGTTCTACTTGATCTTTTAAAAAGATGGGAGGTCACAGACAAGGCACAACTGTTTTTTGAAATCTCAATGAAGAGAATATTAAACAACATAGGTAAGAAGCAGAAATGAGGAGATGATAAATACTGATTACTTCCTAACATCATAAGATGACTTTAGAACACGCAATCAAACACAATCAGTTCATTTTACCACCACAGTACTAAGCAAAATTGAGGATTTTTCAAAATGTTCACCAAGAACATTCAATGAATACATGAACTACATTTGTACAAGTTACTTCTAATACTTGCATAAGTTGTAAATCAAACGTATTAGTAATATCCACATTGAAAGTAATGGCTCTTATTCAAAGAGGTACGTTGGTTACAATGACGAATCCTCAGAATAAATTATCCGAAACGCTGATGTAACTTGAATTTTAAAATATTTTCCATTCGCCACTAGGGCCAAAAGTCTTGGATTGAGCTCTTCGTGTAACTATAGATGCGGAATGTTGAAGATTTCCGTGTTGGGATAGAAAGCCTGTACAATGCTATTTCATTTTCTGTATTTCTTTAACCAAAGTCAATCGGTGATACAAAACTACAAAACATCCGATAAAATGTATTCAAACAACTTTCGCCTGACGTTCGCTTTCAGTCATAAGGGTTTTTGTTAGTTACCGCTACGTGCAACACATTCAATTAATGAATTTCAGTGTATTCTTCATTTTTTTCCTCAAAAGATAAACATAAACTATTATGTTTCAAAAATTACAGGGTTTCCGACTATATCATTCAATATTTAGCATCACAAAAGCTTTCTAACGATTTTAAAAGTGTGCGTACATAAAATTATTTAAATCAACCATTAATATGTTAAAATATGCATAATATAAGAAAATATACTGTAATAGTAGCACAATTATAAAATAGGTTGTCTAAAATGCTTAGCAGGTCGCCGTCACCATACAAATTTAGCCCTACTTTTTTTCACAGACAGGCCTTTATACAGTTGCACAAAAACAGTGCATTTAGGGTAAAAGGGTTTTATAAATTCTATGTAGCCTATAATAATAAAGCTGACAAATAAAATTAGAGATGTGAAATATCAAGAAAGCTCGATTAAGATTAGCTTACAACAAACGCATTACTTAAATGTATTAAAATCTAGTGGTTTTGGTAAGATCTACTGGGATATTATGTTGAATACTTGAATGTGGTTAGCATAAATTATGTGGGAATAAACACCATACTCGGTAGGATTTTTCAATATGACATATCTGAAATCTTTAGAAAGTTGATGGATCGCAAATCTGACCGACGAAATTTGTTGAAGAAGAAAGTATGGCAGAGTTCAAGTTCTATGATCCAACTGGAAAGTACCAAAGGAGAGATACAAACTTAAAAAGATAAGTACTATGAGATTGGATTAACCAAAATAAATTCTAATGTAAGGAATAAAACAAATTCGTGAAATGTGACTTAATGAAAACTTGCCTGTGATTTCTCTGCTTTGTAAAATATTTGTTTAGAATTGCTAATCATTGGTCTCGGTAACCATTTAACCATAGCAGTGGCTTGTAGAACAAATGTGTATAGAAATATAAAGCACCAACAAATCAGCAATATTCCAAGGAAACAAATAGCAATTATTCCAATGACCCATATAAAATCATCTTCCTTTTCATAAGCGCCTATATCGTAAACTGGTGAAATAATGAATTTCGAGAAGGGAAGTTTATGTGGTGTTTTTATTATGGCAAAACATTTTTGACAAATTACTTAATCGATTAACTGACTGTACACAAAAATAACATCACTTATTTCAGCAAACGTTTAGTTCCAGTATAGCAGATAATTGGTTTGAACACTATTTGTGTTACAACGTCTCATCTACTTAAGCGTGTTTGAGCATTAAGAATTACTAAACGTATTTTGTATTCTGTTTTGATACGATTCTTCATTAGTCCATTGTTTCCATTAGTTTTGCCAAAGATCTTAATTTTTTAGCAAAGTCATCATATTGATTATGCAAACTAGTCAACTTATGTGTTTTGTAAATGCCCTCACTAGATAAGATTTTTACTGTTGCTATTCTGCCGTTCTGTTAGCAACCATTGCTTTATTGCCTGTATTTTTCCGTACTACATCTTTACCCTGTAGCTCATATATATATATATATATATATATATATATATCACATAAGCTTTCATAAACCAACTGTGTTTGGTGAAAAAGGGTGTTTCTATAAATTTATGTTTCTTATTTGAACAAAAGCCACTAATTTAGTGGTCACTTTTCGTTTGTCAGTCAAATGTACGTTAATTAAAGCAGTGTGATTACCCATGATCATTTTCAAGAGTTATTATCAAAGATAGTAGAGGTTACATTGGCAAAATATTTACAGATAAATTACTGGTTAGGAAAACGTAATTCTCCGGCTGTTCTTTACAAAATAATATTTAATTTGATACCGACGGTAGTCAAAGTCATAGATGAGCAAATACCGTTGTTGATAATGATTCTTCGTACTAATACAAATAAAGATGAAACGTATGTACTCAAGTCATTATTAAAATACTCTAAGATAACCATCATGTACTTAAAATCAGCTACTTAATGATATGTTACCATCTCGCTGATACAGAGATTAACATAGTTCTATTCATAATGAATATCAAAATTTAATTCTTTTTGAATATATTTGCATTACAGAGAACAAATACAGCTAATTAGTTTCTGTTAACTTTATTTCGAAAAACACCTATTTACCTTCGAAATGTTGCTTACTATAACCGTTGAGTTGTATGATAAGAACAGGATGGTCACATAAGAACTTCGTGGTTAGTGCAGCAGGCGTTAATGACTTGGATCCGAAAGCCTGTTAAGTCTTTGACCAAAAATGTAGCAGTTGGGCGTATTAAAATATGTAGCTAATATATGTCGATGAAAGTAAAAGCCTTGTAAGTTGAGGATTATGTGTTAAATGACTTGATTCACGAAATCAAATGTACCCACAGCTCCTAGACTGACTAAACTTAGGGGAACAAGTAAGTAATTCAAAAGCTGTTATGACTTGTTGAAGACATGTATTCATAAAAAGTGATTGCGTACTCTCCGAAAAACCGTAATAAATGTTTGTTAGATTGCACTATATATTGTGAGAAACCAAATAAATAAAAGGCACCTTTAGGTCTTTCTATGACTGGCATTCCCAAGTAAACTGCTAACCAGTCCACCGGCATTTGATTGAGCTGGTAAACAATAGAAGGAGAAGGTTGGAAGAGGTTATTCTGCTGTACGTAGAAAAATATCTTCAAATATGATCGAGATTCGTCTCTCTCTATGTAATCAACCTTTGAAAATTCAGAAAGATAAGCATAGAAATAGAAAAATAAGAATTAAGTCTGTGTAGTTGATATATCCTGTTCACTCATTGCCAGTTACTTACAAGAACATCGTGCTCATGAGTACGGAGGATATTAAGCTGTCATATTAAAAATGTAAATTATTATGTAACTCACTAGTAAACCTCGTAGTCAGTTTTTAAAACACTGATATTAACATGCACTTATTAGGAAGTTCAAATCAATTTGTAATAAATATGATACATCTGCTGAAAAAGTGGTCGTAATGGGATGGAGATATTCTAATTAACTTTTTCATTATAGAAAAGCTTATGGAATGTTTAATATATATACTTTTGAGAACTTAGTATAGTTGTTGGTCAATGGATAACAAATTTTATTCCTCTTTTCGTTTATTTACTTGCTCATTTTTCTGCGTAACCCTTACAAGTTTGTCTGGATAAGCAAAGAAATACTCATCTGGTATTGGTTAACTTATTAGAGACGACTTATTCATATTTGCATATGAGGAATTTACACCCACTAAAATTTATAACCCTAACTAATACACAAATACCTCCGAAAATACATGTTTTAAGTCGTAAAGTAGCAGTCGTCGTTTGGCGACAAAATTCAATGTGTAGAGATTGATGTAGTACTTGGGAGATTAGAAAGTCTTATGAAACGTGTAAGACTAATGTCAGTTCCAAGACATACTCCAGTCATTTCAAAATGCACTGTTGTTAGTGTCTTACTGGAAGAAATAATTTATCTATGAAATCTAAAACATCGAAGTGTTTATATTTAAAAGACTAGTTACTAGCACTTCGAAGTGCTAGTAACTAGTTGATCTGCCATACTACCGCTTAACCGCTCCAGTTCATAATTAAAGTTTTATGAAAATAACCCTGACCAACTTTAATCAGTTCCTATTTCACACAACAGACAACCATTTTAACGGCCTGCTGATTTACCAATGAAAACTATTTGAAGTCCAATATTGAAAAGCAAAGCTGTACACAGAAATTATATCATCTATGAATGCAAGTATATAATACTTTAAAAAATCCGGAAGATCTATCAGTTAACTTACCACGACAGACCTGTTTTCAGCTTCAACCAGATTGAAGTATTCCGAATACGATATTTTGGTACTTTTAAGTGCTTCAGAAATCTTAGACTCCCATACTGTTTTGTTCATCAAAGATTCATTTTTATGAGGAGGCTTAGTGGACAAAACTACAAGCATTTTTGACTAAACTATCAAGTACCTAAAACAATCCAGAAGACAGACAGACGAGAAGGCTCGGCCGAATAACTCATTAATGGTCCGAACGATAGTAAACATAAAAATACAAACTTATTCATATTCCCTCTTACTCTATGCGGACTGATTATAAGTTAAACACACGATGTAAACAAAACATGAATTAATAGGAAGGACGGAAAACAAAGAATCATCAACTGAATTTTTTTATGATTTTTTATCTGGAAAAATTTGTTTACAGCAAGCTGAAAATTTACAGAGGACAGTCTATCGGGTTATAATTATTCATATTATGGGTATATTGAGCTAATGTAAAGCATCTGACCACTTCTCTACATTGTCTGTGTGATAAGAAGCAGTTTCAGATATTTAATAGTCATCACGCACTCTCTTTTTAGAAAATAAAGTTTAACATTTAGCTTGTACTGTGTATCTTACTTAATACAATATTCGATGTCTTTGTGACAAGCTTGTGTAAACGGATTGATTTACATGCACTTACTTCTCACTACTTCAGTACGGTTCCATATCTTTGCCAACGCTCAACTGTAGGTAGTCTAGGCACTGGACTACACTGATTCTTGTCATTTTGGTTGCAAATTGCGGGTTTGTATACCTTGTATCGATAAATAAATCCCCGAAATAAATAATTCTGTAAGCCTTCAATATTGATAACAACCTCATTCAAGTGAATTATTTTGACTTGGTGCTCGAATGTTCCTGAATTCCATCAGCTATCACATTAGCAAGCTGTAAGTCAGTTGGTTGCAAAGTGAATGGTATTAAAGAGAAAATTGGAATACTAGGAAAAGACGGATGTTTCTAATTATAAATAGATAGTTTAAACAGTGTGGGAAGACCAAAGTGTAGGACTCAATGAGGAGATGAAGCAGGTTTAACTGAACGCATTGCGTTTGTAAGCCTGTTCGTGTAGGAGGTTAGATCCATGTTCATTGAAGAGGACGAAGGATCCACGAATTCCCCTGGAAGTCGAAGTGTCGTTCCATAAACGAGTTGAGACGCAGTGTATCCAATGTCAGCTTTCACTGCATTGCGGATACCTAGTAAGACGAGTGGAAGAGCGTCAGTCCACTGTGAAACGTTTGCAGCTGATAGTGAAGCTTTTAGTTGTCGGTGAAAGCGTTCTACCAACCCGTTTGCTTGTGGGTGGTAGGCAGTCGTTCGTAAGCGAGTGGTTCCTAAAAGTGTGGTCAGACGACGGAAAACATCAGATTCAAACTGACGTCCGTGGTCTGTGGTGATGGTTGAAGGGCAACCGAAGTTTGCTACCCATCGTTCGACGAAGGTGCGGGCCACTGTTTCAGCAGTGATGTCCTTGATAGGTACTGCTTATGGCCATCGAGTGAAACGGTCAACGCAGGTTAAGAGATAAGAGTATCCATTTGAATCTGGTAAAGGTCCTACCAAATCCAGATGAACATGGTCGAAACGAGCATCGGGAGTTTTAAACGCGCCTAAGGGACATTTATTGTGTCTGATAACCTTCGATTTTTGGCAGCTTACACAGGAGCGTGCCCACTCCCTCACGTCTTTATTCATGCCAGGCCAGCAAAACCGTTCTGCTATAAGCTTGATGGTTGCACGAACGCCTGGATGAGAAAGTTTGTGCAATGTATTGAAGACATTGCGGCGATAATGTTTTGGTACAATTGGACGATCCCTACCTGTAGATGTGTCACAGAGTAAGGTTTCCTTACCTGTTCCCATCTGCTTAATACTTAGTTTAAGAGTTGTCGAGGATAACTCATGCTGAAGATCAATGTCTTCTTTTTGAAGCTGAGCGAGTTTAAGAAGGTCGATTTCTTGGAAACTGTTCAAGGAAGTTATGCGAGATAAAGCGTCTGCAACTACATTGTTTGCTCCAGAGATGTGTTGAATGTCTGAAGTAAACTGCGAAATGTAGTTCAGTTGTCGAGACTCACGGGGAGAGTACTTGTCTGAAGGAGAGCTTAACGAGAAAGTGAGCGGTTTATGGTCCGTGAAAAGAGTGAATTCACGACCTTCGATGTAGTGTTGGAAATGCAGTACAGCACAATACATAGCTAGGAGTTCCCTACCGAATTTGCTGTACCTCGATTCGGTGTCTAGCAACCTTCTAGAGAAAAATGCCAAGGGTTGCCAGGAGTTGTTAACCCATTGTTGTAAGACTCCTCCGATTGCCGAGTCGGATGCGTCTACTGCGATGCTAATGGGTGCTCGGGTGTCCTGATGTGCGAGCATTGTTGCTTTGGCAATCAGTTCCTTAACTGTGGAGAATGCTTTTCGTGCGGTGTCGTCCAAATTAATGGATTTCGCATTTCCACGAAGTTGGTCGGTCAGAGGTTTCATAAGTAATGCGCATTTGGGTATGAAACGTCTATAGAAACTTACCAGGCCGTTGAACGTGCGTAATTGCTTGACGGTGGTCGGTTCTGGGTAACCCAGAATGGCCGCCACTTTGGTCCTAAGAGGTCGAATGCCTTGAGCATCTATAGTGTGTCCTAGGAAGTCTAACGAGTCGGTTCCGAATTGGCATTTCTGAACGTTTACAGTTATGCCATGTTTTTGAAGTCGTTCGAAAACAAGATCCAGATGCTTGAGATGTGTTTCTCTGTCCGGACTTGCGATTAAACAGTCATCAACATACGCGTGTACGAAGTTGAGACCTCGAAAAACGTCGTCTATGAATCTTTGGAATGTTTGAGCAGCATTCCTTAGACCGAAAGGCATTCGCAAAAATTCATAGAGTCCGAAAGGAGTTATGATAGCTGTTTTCGGTATGTCGTCAGTAGCCATAGGGATTTGGTTATACGCTTTAACCAAGTCGATTTTCGAAAAGACAGTTGTACCTTTCAAGGTAGCTGTCAAATCGTGAATGTGAGGCAACGGGTAACGATCGGGAATGGTTTTCGCGTTCAATCGCCGATAGTCACCAGTTGGACGCCAATCGTTGCTGTCCTTTTTAGGGACCATCCGCCCGATTTTCGAACGGGAAGTTTAGTCCTAACGTGATTTGCATATATCAAACTTTTGCTGTGTTCTTACGCAACAAAAGTACCATTTCAGTTCTAAAAAATCTATCCTGAGCTATACGTTCGGTAGATTACTTTTTTTTGAGTTTCACTATATTTAATAGTTACCTGTGGTTTTGCCTCAGCTTACTATTCGGTTTTTTTTGTTTTTCACGTATAGACTAGTTTCAGTTTATATCACTCGTTTTGTCCGTTTTTGTCCTTTTTCAGTGTGCATTTTAGTGTTTTTTTTAAAAAGGTCTTAAGCTTTTGCCAGCATCTATAACATAGTTTGCTTCAACACCGTCATGAAAAACTCATGCAAACGTCCGGGATGCCGTTTTGCTGTCACAACTGGCATGCAGTGTGACAACTGCAAAGGTTGGTTTCACGAAGCATGCACAAATCTGACAGCAACTGCTTACAACAAACTCAGCAAGTCAGACCAAAAGTGGGTATGTGTCACGTGCAACACGGACGCAGTAGTCTTGCTGAGTAACATCATTGTCCTACTGACAGGTCTTCGAAACAAGCTGTCAGTTAATTTGGAATACGACAGTAAAAAAACCGATATACAAACAAGAGCGCGCAACGGACTCAAAAATAGGGATGTCGATAGGTATGTCATCGATGGAGCATCCATCAACACTAACGACGACGTGTCGAGGCTCAGTACCATCATTACGTCGACGGTACTAGACTCCCTAGGCAAACTCGGGTCTCCCAGCTCAGGGTCGCTGAACACAACAGTGGTTCCCAAAAACCCTGCAGGCGATTCGACCCACGTTAAGAGAGCCCAAAAGAACCAGGCATCACCGCCTAAGCCGAGCAACCCAAGTGTTGCTGCACGGAAAATAACTGGTGATTTAGTCGCACAGTCTACCCCCAAGACTGTTCGTCCGGTCAATAAAGAGCCCAAGATTCATAAACGCACACTGACCTCCAAAAAACAAGTTATTAAACCTGAACCCATCGTGAAACCTGGTAAATTAACAACAGTTCGTGACGATTCTCTCATTATCATGAACCTCGTCGACAATCCTGACCTTCCTCTCAGTCTGCAGGATAAAAACGACAGGATGCTGTGGGGTGAATTGAACAAAAAGCTCGAACTTCCTAGAATAGAGCCTTTGACGGTCACCCGGCTCACTCGAGGAAAGGATTCTAAGCATCTAAATCACCCGAGGCTTCTCCGAGTAACACTTAAGAATGCTACCGACGTAGAGGACGTCTTGCTAGCAAGTCACTTACTGAAATCAGATGGTAACGTAAGAATATTGCCCGACATACCGTACTCTGAGCGCAATATCATACGAAACGTCCCTAAAGAATCTCGCGAGAAGTTCTTCCGCGGAAGAAACATAATTGTGCAAGGTATACCGGAAAATGCAGACCCTACTCAATCAAATTCTGACATCAGGGAATGGAAATTCATCAAACAGTCCTTGAGGCTCAAACACATACTGACTCAGCATGTGACGAGACTAGCCAAGAAGGACGGTGATCTTAGACCCCGTCTAATGAAGATAACCTTCCCATCTTCCCACATGGCGGCTGCAGTTCTGGAAGCATTTCGTGCCAACAGACGTCGATTGCCACCTGGAATCCACATGCACCCGGATAGGCCATATGAAGCTAGGACCAAGCACAAAGGCAAGTTGGAGCTGACCATTCCACTTGTGGACTGTCTAAATGATAAAAAAACGTGTAAAGGACAGGGCCTACCACCTCGGCAAACCTCATATAGGTGGGCTACCTGTCCATTCACATAAGGTTCATACAGAAAAACAGGACGAAGCTCATGCGTTCCAAATTGAAAGCATAAACTGCTTATATATGAACGCCGCGAGTTTACCAAACAAACTGGATGAACTACGTGAACTTAGCAACGCTAACAAGGCCCATCTGATAGGAATATCTGAAACCTGGATATCTTCTCAGTTCTCGGATCAAGAGTTAGCATTGCCTGGGATGACTTTGTTCCGCAACGACAGAAAAATAGGAATTGGGGGCGGAGTAGCCATATACATAAGCTCTTGGTTGGAGGTGCACCAGGTTCACAACCTCGAGTTTAACAATCTTGAGGAATC